AAGGGATGTTAACTGAAATTTTGATCTCGCTTCCGCATTTGATATATTTAAATACTCATTTCATTTTAATATTTACGGGGCCGTTACATACTCGCCGTCTTCCTGCAGAACGGGCTCGAAAATCAAGTTCTCATGATCTGAAATGGTTAAGTAAGGAATGAGTTATACTAGCCCGGTAAAGACGTCACACTATCTCACTGTCACAGAAGTAAAGGTTGGTAGAAAACAAAAACGACTAATTGAGCATAATTTATGAAAAATTCATTTATTAATGATAAAATCCTTTACGGTCCACTTACCTCGATGGGATTCATGAAAACAACTTATGAAAATAATAACATTATAATATCATGAAATCATACGCACTCTGTAACATAACACATGTCATACTTTTAATATTTCAATCATCAGGCAATAAATTTCCTATTTTATCAGTCTACCAGTATCCATGGGGATCCATAGGGGTCCCCACTACACGTGAACCATTCACTTTAACAACTTAATTTCAGGGTCGTCCCCATACCCCGTCCGGTATGGGCGCTAAAATGATAAACCTCAATACCCCGTCTGGTATGAGGGTGAAGCGGGCCGTCCTCATACCCCGTCTGGTATGAGCACCAAAACATTTAAAGTCTCAATACTCCGTCTGGTATGAGAGACAACGTTCCCGGTAGGGTTCCCTATGGACCCGGTCCGTCCACCATCTTACAGGATATCTGGTGAGGCCATCGACTTATCCATTTATCAATTCACATACCATTTCTATTATTTTCTTAGTTTTCTATTTCTCACATAATCATGAATATTTAAACCAGTAACTAGCATCCAACAATGCAGACATATCATCGGATTCACAAAATTAAGCCATAATGAAGTAACTAGTGATTCATGCATTCAAAACTATAGAATAAATAAATCAGATACCATAACGCATTTAAAACTGTAAAATAATTAAAACAGCAACTGACCGAAAATATATCAGATCCTAGCTCTATTAGCAACCTTAATTAATTATACATATCTATTAATTCATAAAATACCATTTTGTTATTTATTAAGCTTTAATGTCGTGATAGGAAATATGGTGAGAGATCCTTACTTGATTTGAAGTCTAAAATCGATTTTTTACTGTGCCTACGGGCAGTCCCTAGATTCCCTGAATTTTTTTTCGGGAACTGAAACACACTTCTGGTACCTGCACATGTCCCCAAAAAACTTCAAATCAGACCCAGGGCCTCCTCGGCCAATTTTGAAATTCCAGCACGGCGGCTCCGCCGTGCTCTGGCAACAGCGACGGCGATCCGCCTCGGGTTAACTGTTTTCAGTCGAATTCGGTCAAACTTGCATTGGTTCCTGTGATAAAACACCCCTAGGGCCCTCGGTGGGCCGAAAAAATCTAGAAAACTGAGACTTACTAGCGGCGGAGCTCTCGGGTGCAGCGGCTCCTCCGGTGCGAGTCGCAGTTTGGTGTTTTACTCCGGTCAACCTGTAGAGAAAAGGACGGTTGTCATAATGGTGTAAAAATTACATCGAACAGGAATCGGAAAGGGCCTCATCGGAGGCAAAAATTGAAGAAACCCGCGGCGGCGCTGCTGGGCTTCAACGGTGTTTTTCGACTAATTGGCCAGTGATTTGACTCCGATTTGGCTACAGGTGGGTTCAGCATCAAAAACCGAGCCAAGGTGAGAAATTTTACCTCGTTTGGCGGCCCGAAGGTGCTCCGGTGCGGCGACAGGTGGCTGCGGTAGGTTCCTCCAGTGGCTGGGTTGTCTTCTCCGGCGAGGGTTCTGGCGACTAGGGTGTGGGGTTGGGTGTGGATGAGATTATTTATAACATTCCCCTTTTAATTTGAGCCGTCCATTACGATTTAATCTGGGTCGTCCGATCGCAATTAAATTGAAAATAAATCTGGGTCGTCCATCGCGATGTGATCTGAGCCGTCCGTGCGTGATCAAATCTGGGTCGTCCGCACGCGCGTTTGATCTGGGTCGTTCGTGCGCGTAGGAACGGATCTCAGCCGTTCGATCTCACGCACGCGGATCGCCCACGTGGCCCGTTCTGCGTGGCCTTCCCTCATCAGCGTTTCTGCCACACGGCATATCCTGATTGGCCAGAGCTGCTAACGTAGCTACTGACGTGACATAATTTTTTTAAATTGTGTTTTGACCCATGGTTTTCAATTTTTTTTTCAAAAACATTTCTAAAATCTAAATTTTCACCCATTTTTCTCAAAATCATTTTCAATTAAATTCAAAAATAATTTTATCTCTTTTTATCATTATTATTATTTTTATCTTTATTAAATTAAAACCATATAATTATTAATTAATAAATTAATTATTAAGATAAAATAAAATCAAAATAATTCCAATAATAATAAAAATAAAAAAATTTTGGGTGTTACATGCTTAAATTTCTTATATCATTTTAACGTTTTTTTTAAAAAATAAAATTATGCATAGTGAGTTGCTTGAATTTAGTGTGACTCAAAGGGAACAAAATATTATATTAAATATATTATAATTTTATTACATCTTTTAATTTAAAAAAACAAAAAAAAAAACTAGTCGTATTTCTTGAAAAAAAAAATATTAGATTTGATTCTTTTAATTGGTTGTAGTTATGTTAACTAATAAAATTTAACTACTAAATTATGATGTTGTTAGTGAACAACTAGTTTTACTTACTAATATATAATAACATTGAAATATAACTAAAAATTGTGAATAAATATATTACAAATTTTTATTACATCTAATTGAAAATAATATAACATTTGAAGGAGTGTTGATAGGATATTCTTTAATTATTTGTAAACAGAACTGTATATCAAGACATGTTATAGTATCTTATTTATTATAATCATTACACGCCAAACACAATGACTCTGTAATTAATGTTTGACCAAAATGTAAATCACACTTCCATAATTATTTCTCAAAATAGTAAATTAGTACTGATAGTCACTAATTTATATATTTTATTAATTATGTAATATATATATATATATATTATGCAAATAATAATACACGCAAATATATAATCCAAATGTGGTATAAAATAAGTATATAGTTGAGGTTAATTGTACAGGATAAAAAAGTAAATTGTGAAAAAATAATTGGACCAGCTGTAGATTATAGTAGTATGATTGAAGAAAATATCTAGCCAAGGAAATTAAGAAGTTGTATACGGGATGGCCCACTGGCCAGTGCTAACATGTTATATAGGAGTGTAAGCTACAAAGCTCTCGCCTCAGACCCATCACTCCCCCTTTAATTTCTTCACTACTGTTCATTATCTCCCTCCTCAAAATCATGGATCTAAGCAAGGTATTGTCATCTTCTTCGCCTTCAAATCTTAGCCTTCCTCTCCATATAACTAATTATAAAACCCTAGCTTCCCGTTATTTTTTTGATATCATGATTATAAATTAACGTGTCTGTTTTAACGGGGTTCATATCTACGTGTATATATATATATATAGACTAGCTTGATGTATAGTATATGATATTTTAAGCTCTCTTTTCTTGATCTTCATTCAGTTCCGCCCATCAAGTTCTTATGATGCACCATTTTTCACTACAAACACCGGAGCTCCGGTCTGGAACAATGAATCTGCCCTCACCCTTGGCACCAGAGGTAAATTTATACATGTATACACTTACTTGTATGTATGTGTGTGATATACGTGCACGTGTTTGGGAATTTATACTCATTTATAAGCGATCCTGTCATGATATATTTATATATATATATATATAGCAGGGTCTGTATTAATAAGTGGCTCACGGCCGCACCGATGGACTTATCACCAGATCTGGTTAATTTTCTAGATTTTGCATGCGAACTTTTTCTGTCTTTTTCTATCCTTACCAAAGTATAAGGATATAAGCAAGATACTATATCTTTATGTATATTATAATCAAGATCCTAGAATCAATATTAACAAATATTAATCTGTATTACTACTTACTTAAATATATATATATATATATGTATTATTTTCATCAGTATGTATGCAGCAGTGTACGTAAGTATTTCTGGGCTTGAATCGTGCGTAACTATATCAGGAGCCGCCGTAGGTGATTATCAGAGATCTGAAAGAATTAGGAGATGATGATCACCATTTTTTACAGGTCCAATCCTGCTGGAGGACTACGCTTTGGTGGAGAAGATTGCTACTTTCGACAGAGAAAGGATCCCAGAACGAGTGGTTCATGCCAGAGGAGTCAGTGCCAAAGGCTTTTTTGAAGTCACCCACGATGTCTCCCATCTCACTTGCGCCGATTTCCTCCGCGCTCCCGGCGTCCAGACTCCTCTTATTGTCCGCTTCTCCACCGTCATCCACGAGCGTGGCAGCCCTGAAACTCTCCGTGATCCCCGTGGTTTCGCCGTCAAGTTTTACACCCGAGAGGTAGATTGGAAATACACGTACTTACACACACACATATGCAAGAATGTATACACGTATATGATTTTCCTGGCCGGGTTTGTTGTTTTTCAACCAGGGTAACTTCGATATCGTCGGAAACAACATGCCGGTGTTCTTCATTCGTGACGGAATCAAATTCCCTGACGTGATCCACGCGTTCAAGCCAAACCCAAAATCAAACATTCAAGAATACTGGAGGATTCTTGATTTCTGCTCTCACCACCCGGAGAGCTTGCACACCTTCATGTACTTCTTTGACGACATCGGTGTTCCGGTCGACTACCGGCACATGGAAGGATTTGGTGTCAACACTTTCTCCTTCTTCAACAAAGCTGGTAAGATGCTGTACGTGAAGTTCCACTGGAAACCCGCTCGTGAAAAAGTGATGGGTATGTCCGACGAGGAAGCCATAAGAATCGGCGGAACCAACCACAGCCACGCCACCCAAGATCTGTACGAGTCGATCAAGGCCGGAAACTACCCTGAATGGAAGCTTTACGTGCAGACAATGGACCCTGCTGATGAAGACAGGTTTGACTTCGATCCGCTTGATATGACCAAGATTTGGCCGGAGGATATCTTCCCGTTGCAACCGGTGGGTCGGATGGTACTAAACCGGAATGTTGATAATTTCTTTGCTGAGAATGAGCAGTTGGCTTTCTCCCCTGCTCATGTCGTCCCTGGAATCTATTACTCCGACGACAAGCTGCTTCAATGTCGAATCTTCGCCTACGATGACACCCAGAGGCACCGGCTTGGACCAAATTTCATGCAACTTCCGGTTAATGCTCCTAAGTGTGCTCATCGGAACAACCATTTTGATGGGTATATGAATTTCATGCACAGGGATGAAGAGGTAAATTAATTAATAAATAATTAAATTTTACTTTATTACAATTAATCACCTTATTTTGTTAATATGGCCTTAATTAACATAATATTTTCTGGGTTCTGCAGGTGAATTACCACCCATCAAAATTCGACCCTGTCACTAATGCTGAGAGGTACCCGATTCCTACTAAAGTTTACAGTGCTTGCAAACGAGAAAAGGTTAGATTTTTTCTCAACTTTCAATTCTCCATTCAATATTCATCAATAGTAAAAGCTTGAAAGAAGATACGACCACAAAGAAAATTCCATCTAACCAAAAAACAAAATTACAGTGCATAATTGAGAAGCAGAACGATTTCAAGCAACCCGGGGAAAGATACAGGACATTTGAACCAGACAGGTATGGGAGATCTATATACGTGTGTGTGTGTGTATAGATCACTGTCTTTTTACTGGTAAAATCTGATTACATCTGGCTTCTACGATTAATTAACAAACATTATGTAACCTTGTGGGTTAATTTCAGGCAAGAGCGATTCATTAACAGATGGGTTAAGGCATTATCTGAACCAAGGATTACTCATGAGATCCGAAGCATTTGGATCGACTGGTTATCCAGGGTCAGATCTCTAATCTTTATCCTTAGTTCTTCCGTTAAAAGTCTGAGTTAGTAAGAAATGGTTTAATTTATTACATACATAACTTGTGTGTGTGTGTGTACAGGCTGACGAGTCGCTAGGGCGGAAGGTGGCTATGCGGCTGAACATCAGGCCGAGCATTTGAAAATGGTGTGGGTGAAAAAAGCTGTCTGCAAATTAATGGAGTTTGAAAGAAATAGTAGCGTCCCCAAATAATCAAGCAGTGGCAATATCCTACTATATCTGCTTCTTCCCATCAATTGCCATGCTCTATGCTCTGTTTTCCTATATATATATATATATATGTATATATGAGGGAAAAAAATGTAATCTCGTTTTATGATCATTTGGTTGTTGTACTAATAAAAGAAAATTGATGTATGGAGTAATTTGATCTACTTATTATTCCCAATTTTTCTTTACTTATCAGATAATAATATTGTAATCGGAAATTAAAAATCAAAGTGTATTATTTAAATATTACATTATTTAGTTTTAAGATTAACCATATGTAATAAGTAGAAATAACGAACAAATTTATGAATTATTACGGATTTTTATACTTAATTAATGAGAGATTAACATTTTTTTAATTATAAATTTAAGTGTGGGACAGAGAAAGGGAACACAAGCATTTTAATTATTGACGAACACGCAACTTCATTATCTCATATCGTTGAACAATCAATATCCTCACGATATCAATACAAACGTATGTCTATAATAATTTAAGAAATTTATAATTATTAATAAATTATGTTGTTATTAACGTACGTAAATTATTATTTTTTAAAAAAAAAAATTAGTTTATATTATAATAAAAATATGAAATATTTTGTAGAATTATAATAATTTCATTAAATATTTTAATAAAATCTTGGACGAACATTTGATATAAATGTTGTTTTTAGCATTTCATAATGAAATTTAATTATTTTAGAAATTTAGAATTAATACAAAATTTCAAATAAATTATGCGTTTGTACCGAACTAGCTTTAGAATACGTGGTGAGTAGGGTTGGTGGTGTGTGGCAGGCACGGATCAATAATTTCGGCATCTGTAAACATAAGCATCGGCTAGTGAATTGTCTATTTTACCCTTTTAGCAAAATTCTCTCTTTTTTTTTTTTAAGTTTTTTATATTAAAATAATTTTTCAGTTTGCATTAAATTAGAAATAAAATAAAAATTTAAAATAATAATAAAAATTCTTAATCACATAATATAATGTGATTCGATAATGAGTTGTCGGCCACTTAATTGTGAATTATTTTGCTTCGGTTGGGCGTGTTGTTGTGGGTCATGCCCGACAATCAACATGTCTGATCCTTCCCATTGCACTTTACAGGACCCAACCTTATCTCTAAACAATAGTAAAATTTATCACAACCTAATATAGTTAATCAAATTTTCTCATATGTATAATTGTATAATTATAAGTGAACACTAAGTTTGTTTGTTTTAAAAAATTTAAATCAATTACAAAAATAAACTTAATTAAATTAAAAAAATTTAAAATGAGATTGAATCGATTGAAAAAGTATAATATATATTTTTTAAAATTAAATTTAAATACAATATATATTACTATATAATTATTAATTATTATTACATTAAAATAACAAATAAGTTATTCAATCATTCTAATTCTAAAATTTTAAAATAAAAAGAATCAATCTAACCTTTTTATCAATTGAAATAATTATTTATTTATATTTTTTTTTTAAATTAAAAAGTTTTTCTAACGAAAAAAAAATCCTTCACCATTTCAATTTGAATAACGAAATTACATACATTCTATTTGAATAAATTTTAATAATAATTAATTAATGTATGACAATGATAGTGATTGAATGACAATGACACATAATAAAAATGATAAATTTTTATTATGTTTTGATGATTATATATTAATATATATTAATGACATATTTTTATTTAGATAATAAAATGATATGATTGTATTTTTAATTAAATTATTAATTTATTATTATTTATATAAAAAATATGTAATAAAAAAAATTATTTATTGTTGTAATTATATTTATATTTAAATAAATAATTATTATATATAATTAAATTAAATTTGTATATTTAATAAAATAAATAATAATTTAAGAAAATAAAAATAAAATAAATATATTATATTATATAAAAAATAAAAAAAAAAATAATATACTGATTACATATTTTTAAAATTTATTTTAAATTTATAAATTTATTACTATTAAAATTTAAAATAAATATAATTTTTTTTTAAGAATATCATATATTAAAATTATATCTTTCAACACGATTCAATCGGGGTGTTAAAAGGTAAGGTAAGACCTGAAATATAATAATGGTGTCTTAACGTGAATTTCCTTTTCAAAGGCTGAAATGAATTGTAAAGCTTTGGGAGTGCCAGACCTTGACCAGGTCATAGTTGAGGAGTGACAGACCAGTAAAAAGATTCCACGAAATCAAATTAAATTCGTGGGGTGAACAAAGTCTCCCGGCACTCTTTTCGCCAAAATTCGGTTGAAATTTCCTTCTAAATTTAGCCCCTTGATTTTTCTCTTCCTTTTCTTTTCTTTTTGAAAAATTATACCTTTGGCTCTCTCGCACGGATCTTACGTCTCGTTATCGGCATCAGGTAGTTTCCTCCCTCCCCTATTTTGTTTTGTTCTGCTTGAGATTTTGTTTGGGTCCTAAGAAAATTAGAAGAAACTTCGAATTTTTGAAACGCTTTCGGTTGTCATCCCGCAACTTGTATTGAGGTAGGAGCATTATGATGTGATAGTCATAATTCATGTTGAACTACGTGTATGCATGAATTGATTCCACGAGATCAGTATCGTGGTTGTCATCTTTGATTGGAGGAAATCTTGATGCAATATGACAGATATTACCTTGATTAACTTCTGACCCTTAATTGCTCTCTGCTATGGAGAACGAAATGAATGATGGAGTTTAGTAATCTTTATCTGCTTTTCTCTTTTGCTTTATACTTCGTAGTGAATTGCTATAGTGACGATGGAGAGGGCAGACACTGGGCAGAAGTTATACAGTCGACTGCGTCAATGGGATTTCCCGGATAAATATGTTATTGAGCCCACTGATGGCCCTTGCAGATCCTCTTTGGAAATCAGTCGTGTCGATGGCTCAATGCAGCTGATTGGTGGGTTCCATGATGTTGATTCTATGGATCATTATGCATTCAGGTGTCTTTTCTGTTAGATGTCTTTGTTGATCTATGTCTTACTGGTTGTACAATCTATGTTCTCTAGATGGAGTTACCGAATGCAACTCTATCCGGGTTCCAAAAATTCAAACAATTTTTGGCGTTGTGGGGATGCTAAAGCTCTTGGCAGGTGAGATGCTACATGCTAATTTTCCTTCTAAATCCACCTGTGCATATCGTGTTCATTCTAACAGGATATGTTGCCAACACAAGATTTTCAATACAATTTTACATTTGTTCATATGTCAATTAGTAGTTTTAGTTTCACTTTAATTGTCTAGACTTTCATCTTCTTGCATTGTATCCTGAACTAGTTTGTTCTTTGTGCCACTGGATTGGCAGTTGGTCCAAATGCTTTCGACATTGTGACATCTGTACTTTTGCATTCAGGTTCATATTTGATTGTCATAACAGACCGTGAATGTGTTGGATCTTACTTGGGACATCCCATTTATAAAGTTTTGTCATTGAAGGTTCTTCCATGCGATCATTCTCTTAGGACTTCCCCTGCAGAACAGGTAATTCACTCGCAGCTTTGCTGCTTCTGAGGTTGTGTATTACTAATATTAATTGAACTCTCTGTTTGTTATCCACTTTGACAGAAAAAGATGGAGAGTGAGTTTTCTAGGCTGTTAAATGTTGCAGAAAAATCTTCTGGTCTATACTTTTCATATGAAGTAAACTTAACACTGAGGTGAACCTCTTCTATTGCACCATGTTTTCCCCTAGAAAATAATAAATTGTCTTGCCAGTGCATATCAGTATTTTTCATGCTGGTATTATGGAACCTCAGAAGGGAAGAGGGGAAAAAAAACTAATTAATCATTTTTATTAACACCTTTCTTTACTGAAAAATGGAAGATTGTATTCTCATAGTGAAGTAACCAGTCATAATTTTAGTACATTTGATATTGTTTCAGTGCACAACGAATGCATGATTTAGGTCAAGAATCTAAATTGCTTCCTCTTTGGAGACAGGTAACAATATTTCAACAAATAAACTGTTTTACTTTGTGGTTTCTTTTTCTGTCCATTGATTTTCCATGAAGACAGCATTTTAAACACAGGTAATGCTTATAATTTAGAGAAAAAATGTCTCCACAATCTGCTGTTTGCGCCATTCTATCTTCATCAGTTTTCCTTGTAATTTCTAATTTTAAAGCATGGTGGTTTTGCTCATGCAACAAAATCCTTGCTACAGGCAGAACCTAGGTTTCTCTGGAACAATTATATGTTGGAAGTGCTTATAGATAATAAGGTTGGTTTGTTGCTTAACTTATTCTGGTTGTTACATGCTCATTTTTTCCATTCTTTTTTCACTTTGGTTTTAGCTAACCTTCATCCATTCAATTGATTTCTTTATGCAGCTTGATCCATTCTTACTTCCAGTAATCCAAGGGAATATCCTTTGAAATGATTGATTTCAATGTTTTGTTGTTATAACATATGAACATAAGGTTTCTAGTTTATTTCTGGCATGCTTGGTATTAGAACCGCAATTCCATTTTAAATGTTCACCTTAACAGATAAGTAAGCTTTCATTCTTTTCAAGCTGCCATAGGAAAAGAAATTGTTGATGTTACTCTTATTGCTAGGAGGTGTACTAGGAGAAATGGTATGCAAATCTTTGTACCCACATTTTGTTTCAAGACCCTTTTTTTCTTAACAAATGTTACTTATGTTACTTTTTTTTAGTGTTTGTCTGGCTGTCCTGCATTTATTGAAATAAACTGCAATAGAAAAGTTTCACTTATGAACTTGGTTGTTCGTTTTAACACTGTCAGGTACCAGATTATTGCTGAAGTGGCATGGTTGACTTGAATGGGCTGACCATTTGAAAACATATGCTTGTGTGGATTTCTTTGGTAGAGAAGTCTAAAACATTGGTTCTTTTGTTTAATGCTTATTATAATTAGTTATCTCTGGACTATCTTAAGCACAGCTATGGAAGCCGGCAGCATCAGTAAAATGAATGAAAAATGAATATACTTCCTCTACAACTTCTTCTCTCTGTCTTCTTTGTTCTCAATTTCTTCTTAAATCAGGACCCTATGAAGTAGGATTCTGAGGAATGGTATCAGAGCAGTTGATTCTTCCCATTCTTTTTCCTTCTTGTTCCGCTAAACCTAACTTTCCTTTTTCTGTATGCTTCACTCCTCTCTCTCCTTTGCCCTTCCCCATTCTGCTGAATTGTTTCTACCCAGCTATCCAAGACAAAAATGAAAAAACAAGTGCTACTATGAACACAAATCAATACCACAAAATCTAGATAGGAATTTTGACATGGAAGAAATAATTTTAACATGAAGCTTTCTAAGCAAAGGAATATCCATTTCAAGCGGTTAGCGTCAAACTGAGCGAGAAGCTGTTCTACATGAGAACATTATGGTGTTGCGGATCCCATGATGGTGTTGCCTTTCTTGAAAGGTGGTATTTTCTCTCCGTCCCATCGGTTTTTCCAAGTGTGATTTTTCAGTTATCCTTTTTGGGAAATGCTTCTTCCTCCAAGAACTTCCATCTTGACCCGTCATGCCTTGTCTTCACTGCCAGTAACAGTTCTTCCTCTTGTTGAACTTGGTTATATGTCCCCCTAGAAGCTTGTTTTTTCCTAAAGTCTAAGAGAAAGTAGAATAGTGTTTATATAGGTTACCTGTTTGTTTATTCTATGGATACAGTGTGATGCATTGAAATGAAGACAAGCATCTTATGTCAGAATGTGTCAGTTTTGTGAGAAGGAGAGTATAAATGGGTCTTAAGTAGTTATGTAAGGATAAAAAACAGTTCGAAGGTTGGAGGGAACTGTCTTTTTGTTGTAATAAATACTAAAATAAGAAAATTATGAGTATTCACTTACTGAAGAGATTGTTTAGTTCTCTCTCTAATCGAGTCATTTGATGTGTGAAAAAATAGGTAAAGGTAGAAGATCAGATAAAAGCTCATCTGCAGCAGCACATTTCATTGTCAACAGAACCATAACTAAATCCTAGACAAGTGACAATATCAAAATCCTTCTCCTTTTGAAACTAGTCAGTTTCGATGCTGTCTCCTAAATTTTGATGTGATAATGTGAGAGATTGTTGTGAAATCTTTTATGGTTGAGAAGTTTGATGGGGTTGAGGTAGCTGGTGGGATAAGCTTGCTGTCAACGTTGATGCTTGGATGGACACTATGTACTTGTGAGAAAGTTCCTCTACCAAGGATTGGTTTGCGAATTATGTTAAAATGCCAACATTAGTTGTAGAAGGTGATAGGTGTTTTTCTCAATTGGTCTTTGAGTGATGTTCGGATACATGTGAAATACCTTAAATATAAAGAAATACTGGTCAAGGTGAGCTCAACTGGGTTTGCAATGTGCTGATGGAAAGACTGGGGGCTCTTAAATAGAGACGTGAGGAAGGTGGAAGTGGTGAAGAAGAAAGAGGTGAGGGAGGAGTTGCTCATTTTTCTATGGGTTCTTGATTGCAACCAAGTTGGGTTGCAGGAAGTGAGAAATGGAGGTTTAGAAATGGGCCTGATGAGCTCTATTTTATGGTAGGACTTGCTCTTGATGAGTCTGAAGCTAGACAATTGTTAAGTTGACACATACTGATGTCACCAAGGAAGATACATATTGAAGCAAGGCAGCAAGAGTGGTGGAAGATCAATATGGCTACTGCTTTTTATCGTCAATGGACATAAGTATTAAGTTACGGGATAGAAGGAAAGCTGCACTTACACTATCCATGATTCTCTTATCCCTCTGGCTATATTGGCTTACACCACAGAGAGAAACAGCTGTTATCTTTTTTGCATGCTATGTGCTCAGGACTCTCACTCCAATGATTTGTGATGACATTGTTAAGACCTTGGCGCTTGCTTAGGTGGTTTAGACAGACAAAGAATGTTGGCTAGGCCCATCTTTAAATAGCATTCATCAAAACAAGTTTGCTGTGCTCAGTTCTTATGTTGGCTGATTAACATCCTTGAGGATAATGATGCTTTTATAAGGAGGTTACTGTCAGGAACCAGAATATTGCTGAAGTAGCTTGGTTGAGTTGACTGGGTTGACCATTTGAAAATATATGCTCATGTGAATCTCTTTGGTAGAGAAGCATAGCATGCTAGTTGTCTTCTTTATGACTTCTAGTTACGGTTAGTTATTAAACTCTAACTAAAACTATTTTACTTGCGCATGGGTGTTGTAGAATCGTATTGTTACTATCAAGAAAAACAAATGAAAATTGAATATGCTTCGTCTGCAACTTCTCCTTTCCTTCCTCTTATCTAAATTTTATTGTCTCCTCTTCTTTCTTCTCTACTTTCTTCAATTAGGACCCCATGAACATGGATCCTGACAAACAAGTTCCCATCAATTTGGTGTATGCTCTGATTTGGCAGTTAGGAGAATCGTGCAGGAAAAAAGTCCTTAAGAAAATTGCATGTAAACTAAAGATGCAACTATCTATGCAGTTAGTATTTAGTTCTTAAGAAACACTGGTTAGGAAGTAAGCTTGAAGCTGACGTTCCACAGTTGATTATAAAGTGGGAATATTGATGCAAATATTTCTCGGAACTGCATAATAGTTAGTTGGTGTGAATGACATACTTTTGTCTAAGAAAAATGCATAAATATTAAGGGAAAAACCAATTTTTCTTTTCTGATCCTCTTTGTAGCGCCAAGTGCAGCTGAAATTCTACTCTTTCTTTCTGTTTATTAATCAATGGATGAAAGCCTTCAGGTCGTAGGGTAATGTCATTGGGTAACTGTACCTAGAAAGTGCAGCTGTGTGGTTGACTTATTTACTTATGCAGTAACTGGTTAATTGAAAGCAACTTGGTTATGTTCTTAATCTTTCTAGGAGTACTAGGAACATGGTCATGAAGGCGTGGGAAAATATCGAGGTAGCAATAGCATTGTAGACTTGTTAAAGATCGATATGCCTATTAGTTTTCACTGTGTCAGAAAAGTGCTTTATCTTATTTTTCTATACTAATCCAGTTCATTTACAATTTGGTTCTCTTGAAGGCACTCGTATGTGGAGAAGAGGAGCTGATCCAGATGGTTATGTTGCTAACTTTGTGGAAACTGAGCAAATTGTGCAGATGAATGGATTTACATCATCATTTGTTCAAGTAACTTTTGTCTTCCCTGATACAAGAACAGTCTTCCTGTAGATTGCTGTTGAGTTTCTTTATTTTTTAACAGTATTGATTACAAAACCTAGTGCTGAATGATAAAAGGAAACAGTAACTATAAGGTTACATGCTACAAGTCTTGGTCATAAAACTCTGGATTAGGATCCGGGAAAAGCTGAATACTGTCATTGGAGGAAACATTTTGAGGAGATTGAACTGGATTTTTGGAGTTCGCATTCTACCCAACCATCTTTTCTTTTTCTTTTTCTTTTTCTTTTTTGTAAATCTATTAGATTATGCAGAAAATTTAATGTCATCAATCTGTATTTGACAAGGCATCGAGTGCAGAAGTCTGCTGATTTAGTGAAGTGGGAGAAAACTCCGATCCAGAAGTTAAAACTAAAAGTTTTTGCTGAATCTGACTATGGTATGCGTATAATAGGTTATGAATCCCATCCAGAAGGAGTCTCCTTTCTCAATAGGGATAACAACTTGTATAAATCATGAAGGCAAATCAAGAAAGGGTGTGTCCGTCCTAGTTGAATGGGAGCCAAGTGAATTACCCTGTTTAACATCACTCATCTTCTTGTTAGGTTCTTTTATCCATGATGACATGGATGCTTCTTCAGTTCCAACCCTTATAAATTTTGCTAGAGATGGGATTTAACAGTTTTTAAGGGTCTCAAAGCTGCATAAAAATTGTACCAGTATTTGGCCATGTCCGATATCCATGTTATAAATGAATAATTTTAGTAGCTCAAATAGCACAATTTATTCCCCTTATAGTTCTGGATATGTCTCATGGTTGTCTATGTACTATTTATTTGTTGGTTTTTTTTACAGGCTAGGGGATCAATTCCATTTCTCTGGGAGCAGGTTGTTGATTTGACATATAAGCCTAAGTTTGAGATTGTGAGGTCTGAAGAAGCTGTAAGTGTCTCACTCTCCACTTAGTAGTGTTGTTTGGTTGCACATTTCAATGACCTTTACATGACTGCGGGTCCATGAACTATTATGCAGCCTCGAGTAGTTGAGCGACATTTTCTGGATTTAAGAAAAAGATATGGATCTGTCTTAGCTGTTGATCTTGTCAACAAGGTGTGAATATTTTTCTCTTTCATTCTGGTTGGATTTGCTTAGATTTCATTGTCATATTTCCTTAGACATTTGTTGATCATCATTCGTTTGATCATTTTCTTTTTTTTTGGATTGTTAGTCTCCTTAAATAACAAGAAAAGATGCTCATGGACACTGTTTAGAAGCACATGTATTCTTCTACTTGTGGACTGTGTCCATGGAACTTTTATGTTAGGACATGCACTAGCAATTAATTGCAATTTGTCTATGCTACTACTTTTGTTTACTTTCTCTCTACATCAGCACGGAGGTGAAGGACGCTTAAGTGAAAAGTTTGCAAGTTCAATGCAGCATGTTTTCAGCGATGATGTAAAGTAAAATTCCTTAACCCAGCTTCTACTTGTCTTCTGCTTTTTCTTCTCATATGTGTTCTCTATGTTAACCTAAAGATCTCTTCAACATTGTAGATACCTGCACTTTGATTTTCACAAAATCTGCGGACATGTCCATTTTGAGCGCCTTTCTATCCTCTATGAGCAAATTGTAGATTTTCTTGACAAAAATGGGTGAGTTTTTTTTTTTCTTTTTTTTTTTCAGTTGTTTAACCATTCCAGACTTAAGATTTGAAGATAGATATTTAATGTTTACTATTTTGCTATTTTCATTGATGTGAAATAGATATTTATGATCGTTTAACTTTCATTGAAACTGGTAGATACCTTTTGTTGAATGAAAATGGTGAGAAAATGAAGGAGCAACTTGGAATTATAAGGACCAATTGTATTGACTGCTTAGACCGTACAAATGTTACCCAGGTTTGTTGATACATTGTGATACTATTTGTTCAGAATCTTATTGACTTATTTATTACATTTTCATTGTTGTTTGCTTTCTGTAACATTCTAAGATCTGGCTGCAGAGCATGATAGGTCGAAAAATGTTAGAAATTCAACTTAGGAGGATTGGTGTTTTTGGTGCTGAAGAAACTATAAGTTCACACCCAAATTTTGATGAGAGCTTTAAAATATGTAAGTACTTCCATTTCACTTATAAAACTACATTCTCAAGGCATTTTCTAGGATATAAAAATCTAAATTTTTGCTCTCTTAAATGTTTTGGTGTCTTCAGTGTGGGCTAATCATGGGGATGATATAAGCATTCAGTATTCTGGCACTCCTGCTTTGAAAGGAGATTTTGTCAGGTACCTTTTCCTGAGTATTCACTCTTGACTGTTGATGGCATCACTTAAACTGAAAGCTTTTGGTACAGGTTCCAGGATGGAGCTGACAAAGTATATTTTGATTTTATGTATCTTTTTAAATTTTTTAGCTGTGCCCTAAAGTTGAAAGTTGTATTCAATCAAATTGCAGATTTGGTCAGCGAACTGTACAAGGAATCCTTAAGGACGGCTGCAATGCTCTTGTACGCTACTATTTGAATAACTTTGTTGATGGCACAAAACAGGTTGGTACACTTAATTGCTTAATTTAAGTTAGAGATGCTGACAAATTAGCTTTGCCCCATTGGCACTTCCGCACTTCACCAAGTGTAACATTGAGGATTCAATCTCTCAACATACCCATAATAAAACCATAATGGGTCTCTAGCAAGAAAAGGAAAAAGTTAGAGATGCCAAAGATCTAATTGAGAAACAGCAGTTTAGCACCAATTTTTTGCTGTTACACTTTGTAGCTTTGTTCTGGTCCACCCTCTTTTTCCTTCAGTAGTTCTCTATCCTTGATATACTTAGCATGATCTTGGAGATTGGCTGGAGGGAGTTTTCTGCCAATGGTGCTGCATGTGAGATTGTCATTTTATTTAATGATGTTGTGCTCGATTGCCTTGAAGTATTACTTGGGGTCTACTCTATTTCGTGTCTTTTTGAGAATAAAAAGAATGGATGGAGGTGGGTGTTCACTGGGGTATACAACAGAGGTGAGGGTAGGGAGAGAGTCAAAATGTGGGAGAATTTGGTGCCATGTAAAAGGAAGTGAGATTTTCCATTGGTTGTAGGGGGTGATTTTAATACGCTCCTGGATAGATAGGAAATATTAGGCGAACACTTTTCCAGGACTTGTGTTGATGAATTTCGTGAAATTTTGGACAAATTATCTGTTGAATTTGCCATTGGTAGGGGTAAAAGGACTTGGTCTAATTAGAGGTCGAACTTGGTATGCTCCAAGATTGGCAGGTTTTTGTGTTTGTGAATTGACATACAGCTTCCCTATTTATTTGGACTCAGATGAGATTAAATATAGTCCATGTCCTTTTAGGTTTCAAGATAAATGGTTTAATGTCACTAGATTCAAGGAAAAAAATCAAAGACTAATAGAACGGGACGAGAGTAGAAGGTAAAGT